GCATGGTATATATAAACAAGTAATTGATGAATAAAATTGGAATACAGTTGTATGGCAGAAGTAACAAACAAAGGATGAAAATCAGATGAAAAATAGGGTATTGCCCCATGTTCTCTCGTATTTTTGTAAATGGGGATTTTGAAATATTTGTTTGATCCTTATTAATTGTAGAAATTGAATGATTGGTAGGTTCGCAGTTCTCTTGTTTGATATCTTTAGGGAGTGATGTGGTATGATTGAACTGTTTGTCCGGTTTATAGTTCTCCTGTTTGATCGTCAATGGTTTTATTAGAGATATGTCGGCGGTAATTGGTTTAGGTTGAGATGTGTGATCTTTTCTCTGACGTGGATGTGGTAATTTTGGCATTATTTGTGTTGTGTGTACGCTGTGCTTTATGTACGAATTTTGTTTTGTTTGGGTACCTGTGTCGGTATTTTTACGTGCAGGTTGTTTGTATTCATCGATTCTTCTAGCGAATCGGCAGGTGGGGCAGGTTTTTACCTGTTTTGCGATGTCTTGTGTCATGTTCTGCCAATAATATTGTGCTGAGATGAGCCTCGTCATCTTGGAGATGTTTGGATGGTGGTGTTGAGTGTGTACGGACTTAAGGAGTCTGGTTGTAAGTGAACTTGGGACTATAGTTTTAAGTACTCCTTTTCGGGAGACGGTGCGCAGTTTATTGTGATCTATAGTCACGCGAGATTTTCCCGGTGGAGAAGACTGTTGGCTCTGTATGAGTGGCGCATCTAGAAAGCCACAAAATGGGATACGAGTTCCAATGCCCGTTTCATATTGTTGTACTCCATTTATGCTACGGACCTCATATTCGTATCTTGACAATCTTAACCTCCATCGAAACAATCTGCCTGACGGAGCTTTGATCTCTTTCAACCACTGCAATGCGGGATGGTCAGAAAATATTGTAAACTTTCTGTCCATTAGACAGGTGCGGAAATTATCCACACTTTCCACAATGGCTAGGCATTGTAGTTCCAAGTCTGAATAATTTCGCTCGTGATTACGCAGAGATCGGCTGAAATGTTGAACGGTGTATGTCTTCCCATCAGGGTAGACTTGTTTAAGAACGCCTGTAATGCTGAATGTTGAGGTGTTACAGTACACCTGGCATGGCAGACCTTCCTGGTAAAGGTGTAATGTGGGGTGTGTGGTAAGGTTTTCTTTCAGGTTAATGAACGCTTTCTGGCATTCGTCATCCCAGACCCACATGATATCCCTTTTTAGAAGGTTGATAAGTGGCGTCCGCAAGCGGGCGTGGTCCGGAATGAACTCTTTATAGGCGTTCACAGCTTTTAGGAAAGATCGCAAGGCTTTTCGATTGTGTGGTTGTTTGGTGGCGTGAATTTTTTCTATGTTTTGTGTAGACGGGATGATTGTATTATTCTTAACGGTTGTGCATGCGCTTGTTTGTCGTTGTTGTTGTCTTTTGGCGTGCGTGTTGCGTGTGTTGTGCGGATTGTGTGTGTTACCGTTGTGTGACGACGTATGGGTGCGCGTGTTGTGAGGTACATTTGCGTGTTTATGGCGTTGCGAAGTATGGTCATGTGTGGATTTTGTGTGGTAAGTGGGTGAGCTGTGTCGGTGTACGGACACTTTTTTGGGCATTATTGGAATTGTAGGTTGGAGTCGTGGTGGTTTTACATGTTGTGGGCATATAGTACTGGTAATTGGGTTGAGTGAAAAGTTGTGTGGTGTGAGATTATAATGGTGGCATGTAAATATTTGGGGTTTGGGCAATGAATGCAGGCAAGGTTTTCCATGTGTGAAAGCTTTGGGTGCTGTGCGAGTCCTTTGGGACAGGTTTTGGCCTAGCCCGTGCTTGCATTCATTTGATACATGTTTAAAGTGGTAGATAGTATTAGACAATGGGACGCCAAGTTGGAAAATAGTGCCGCGATTATAATTTAGTTTTAATTTATATTGATAAAGGGTTTTTAAGGTAAGAACTCCAAATGGCAAGGATGCATTTACCACGTGGAAGTTCTCTCTACGGGTTATTTGGCCTATTGTCAGAGGGAAAGTTAAATGTCCTATTATTTTCGTAAAACTATTTAGGGTGGATAGATCAAGGGAAGGTTTTTTAATACTTAAGTTGGGAAGTTGTGCTTTTAATCTATTGTATAAATGATACGGCAATATGTTCGAACCTGCGTCTGGTTCAATTAGAAAGGTACATGGTAGGTCCTGGGTCAGATACAAGTCCAAAGTCAATTTGATGGTGTCATTGGGTGGATTGCCTACCTTAGTCTCGAAAAGTCTCCACTGTGGCGTCTTCGGCTTGGTGTGGCTGGCTTGGAATATCTGTTGGACCGGGTCGGGACCTTTTGCACTGTCCTCGCAATTGAAAGGGAAATTTAGTCATTTGTACTGCTTCCATTCGAGTGGACCGCGTTGTCGGTACACTGGGCCCGTGTCGCGTGGCTTGCTTCCGGGTGCACGGGTACGGCATGGCGGGGTGGCGACTCCTCGGTGGCGTCAGGTTGTTCGGACACGTACCGGCGGTGCGGGCGTCGGCTGTCCCGAGGGTGGCGCTCCGGAAGACCGCTTCCAGTTGCGTGGATCTTGGCCCTTGTAGCGCGGCGGTCAGTTCTAAAATTACCGTCGCAAGGGGGTGTCTTGTCGCTTCGTTCGTTGTCAGTCTCTTTCCGCTCGTTGCCAGTTTCTTCTCTCTTGGTTTGTCATTGCCTTTTGGTTTGTTGGTGTCTGGGTTAATTCCATTTTGATCCTGATTAAGCTCCATAATCTTTATCCTGATTAAGTTCCATAATCTTTATCCTGTCGACTTAACCGTTCTGTGGCAATATCGTTGCGGAATTTCTTGTTGTTGGATGCGAATGGTGATATTTGATTGAAGCGCAGCCGTTTGAGTGGAAGTTGCAGCATACAGTTAGGAATAATCAGGACACGTGATTGTTTTGAAAATAAAAGGCAACTGGATTGGAGGGAAGAAGGTTTGAGAAGGAGCGGGTTTGATTGTTCCTTATCTGAACACATGGCGGTGATTGACATAGCTATGAGCTGAGCTGAGAGAGAGATCTCTAGAACAGATGTTACCTTGGTGGGAGCAAGTCGAAGGCTGATCCGAACTCGGTGGGAGCCAAGTCGCTACTGCAGGTGTTGTTCCTATGAGAGCTAAAACACTACTGACCATCCTTGGCGTTTCGATTTAACACCAAGACTCCGTTTCTCTCTGATTGGTTGAGAGATGATCACATGCTTTTTCCCTATTGGTTGACCTATTTAGATGCTATCTTTTGATTGGCCCGCGGCTTTCCTTGATGGAAGCTGTGGTCTGCTTGATAGGAAGTGTCGAGTGCTATTTTGACTTTATTTACTTCCGTGTTATCAAATACGTCCTATCTTGGGTCGGAAGTATGGGATGTCTCTATACTAATATAACTTCTGTGGATATTGGATACGTCCTGTTTTGTCAGGAAGTATTGAGTGCATCTTGGCTAAAATAACTTCTGCGGTCACTAGAGACGTCCGGTCTCTGCCCCTGCAATATTGACACAGGGGTGCCCAGAATAGTCGTGCCAGCCTTAGGTCTACTTCCTATATCTTAATGCTACTTGCTTCCCTCCAGTTACCTTGTTCTTTATTAAGTCTTTGAAAATCATACATGGTACATACATAGTGGGTCGGGGTTGCATTTAATCATATACAAATTATGACATATATGCTGTTTGTAAATTTTAATGCTTTATATGTGCAATGTGTCTATAAGTATTGCCACCCATATATATGCCATGTGTAATTATAATGCTGTGAGCATGTATGTAAATAAAATAAGAATATGTATACATATGTTGTATGTAAATTTTAAGATTTATATTTGGTGTGTATATATAAATAACGCTTACACATATATATGCCATGTGAAACTATAATGCTGAGCAATATACATATATACAGTCAACTCTCGATAATTTGAAACTCAACGGACCAGATAAAAATTTCAATTCATCATGAGTTCAAAATAACAGGAGTTTAAACAACCAAAAGGGAGGGAGGGAAAAAAATCAAGTAAACAAGAGTTTGAAGTTTGGTAGTTTCTGGATATACATACTATGTTGATACAAGATCAAATAAGTGACTTATCGCAATTTTTTAAAGTAAAAAATTTATTGGGAGAGCTTTTGAGTATTGCCCTTTCTCAAACAAGAGTTGAATCTTAAAATTAGTGATTTATCATTTCAAACATTTGTACAGTTATTCACAAATGTTCATTTGTGGCAATATACTATTCCTTCAACTTCAAATTACCGAGGGGACCAATTAATATTAATTTTATTCAACTTATCGAATATTTTTCAAGGGACTGGGAAAACATTTCAAATTATCGAGAGATTCAAATTAACGAGTTTCAAATTATCGAGAGTTGACTGTATGTATATATGCACATAATGATGCATGTAAATTTAATGTATTATAGGTACTGTAGACTTTTTTTGTAACATAAAACATGATTATAATGCTGAGCATATATGTATATATGTGTACACACTGCTTTATGTAAATAAAATGCTTTATAAACGACATTTGAAATTATCCCACATGTGTTTCTTTTGAACGAAAAATCGGAATTTATTTAAAGGAGAAATAACGATTATTTCTAACCTTAGGATGAAGTATTCATACTTTAAATCTCCTTTAAATAAATTTTGATTATTTTTGTTCAAAAGAAACACAGGCAGGATAATTTCAAATGTCGTTTACAATCATAAGCCGCATTATATTGTATTATAATGCTTTATAGGGGCTTGTAGACCTATTAGGCATTGTAACTCTAATGCTGAGCATCTATCTATATGTATAAAATGTAGGCTTTATGTAAATATTATATGTGCTGTGTGAAGTAATGCTGAAGAGATGCCCTAGGCTTATATATAATGCTGAATATGTATGCCTGCTGCATGAGAATGCCTGCTGTAGATAAAGCTTATAACTGGGAACAGAAGAAGAACTCATTGAAAGCCCAGCTAGACGGGCCTGAACCTTTCGCTCAACCTTTATATAATTCAGGTGAGCAAAGTTTCAGGTGAGTCAAGCTTGAGGCAATTCTACTGCTCCAGACTACAGTGGACACCAGTGGCTGTGAAACTACAGAAGCTGTAAACAAGGGTGGACAATGGTGACAACTCAGAAATACTTCTAGCTGCTGACGTGGATACACCTGAAAGCTTGTCTCAACCTGGACTCAGTCAGGTGAGCAAAGTTTCAGGTGTGTCAACTCTCAGTTTGTCTATCTTTCTCTCTCTGTCACTCTCCTGTCCTCTCCACTTCATTCTCCACTTCACTCTGCTCTCCTACTCATCTCTCCACAGACTCATCTATGTACATACTTTGTAGTCTTATTTGGGTAAATCTCGGGTATCTTTATTTCATGTCATTTAACTCTTATTCTTTCTGGTGCCAATTTTGTAATGTTTTACTTTCTATAAAAGGGATACATTCGAAGAAAAAGACATTTAATGACATTTACAGATATTAAGGTACACACTTTTGACATTTACAGATATTAAGGTGCACACTTTTGACATTTACAGATATTAAGGTGCACATTTGTAAGTGCAAAGTTGAACTGCTTTCACATGTGTAGACATGTGGTGTGCTTACAGTAAAAAAGCAGTCGCTAACTACCCACCATGATTATCATGGCCTGTACCACGTGTACTAGGGGTAAGAAAAAAAAAAACAGATATTAAGAAAAAGGCATCTTCTGATTGTGCAACTAATTATCTGTCGGAATCAATATCAACTAATCGTTGGTTTTTAATTATTGCAGAATTGACCAAATACCCTTTCTTGATTAATCAAGAAAAGCTAATCACGTATGTTTTTTGGGCTGTTGACACTTATCAGCATGATGCAAGCTGTACCTCAACAAGCAAAAAATAATTGATCTTGGAGCATCCTGAAAAATAAATAAATGAGTATTTAAGCCTGAAAGAGGTCATGAGAATGCCAAAAACTACGTGAAAAAAAATTACAAAAGTGAAATTATACCTGAAATTTCACTTTTTTACTATTTTTTCACATTTACATACATTTTTTTAACTAGATCTACATTTTTATATATCACTTCCATTTTTTACAAATAGTATTTTAGGGTTCCTGAAAAATTAATTTCTTTATTATTATTATTTTTATATCAGTACTTTATTTTTTACTCTTGTCTACTTTATCTTTCAGTACTTTTTTCTAAAGATTGCAATAATTTTCTTACCAATGCATCACATAGATTTTAGTAATAGAAGAACCTCTCTCTAAAGGGAACAACTTAGTTGCAGAGCCAAAGTGTCCTTTAGAGAGAGAAAGAGTTTTTCACTTACCAGAGAGTTGATAATTAGTAAAACTACTATTACATTAATCACACTGGAGTACATAATGGACTTACCATGGTAGCTATGCTACCATATAGTGTGGAGTTTAATTAAAAAACATATATTTGATAAAAACAAAATTATTTACCAATATATCAATTGACTGAATACCAACCTTTTTCAAGGTAAAACCTGTGTGGGAGTATTTCTTCTTTTACCTTTATACGTTTCATCTCTCCTTTTAAACACAAGGTAATAACACCAAATTCAAATAAATAAGTAGTGTGTTACATTTTGGTAAAAGTATATTGTTACCATTATCAGACGAAGTACTGAAAAAAATACTCATTCAGTACTTTTATCTGATGATGGTAACAACGTTGTTACTGAAATTTCACACACTATTTATTTATTTGGATTTGGTCTTATTACCTTGTGTTTCTGATCTATAATCCAAATTGTACCTTATCATTTCTCCTTTGAATTGTGACTTCCCCTTTTAATTTTTATAAAATTATATCATTTTTGTACCATATGTAAATATGAGTCATAATGTATACTTTTTGATTTTGATGCATATATGTATTGTGTTATTGTATTCTATCTTTTATTGGAATTTTTATATACAGTATATTCAATAATTTATTATGCATATGTTCAAGTTTTTTTTTTTTTTTTTTTCATTTGAATGTTGTACTGTTGTAAAAATGTAACATGCAAATTATTATTTTTTGTAATTTTTATCTTGCACTTATATTTAGATTTTGTTTTGCATTTGAAAGAGAGAGAGAGTGTACAATTAATTCACACATATAGTCAAACCTTCTTTGAACCACCAATCTTAGGGGAATACTCATTATCTTTTTAAAATCAAAAAGGACTTGTTTTTATATAGTCTAAACTGCAATGAGAGACAACTACAGTATAGATTATGTGGTCTCTTCATGGAAGGTTCTAGTGTATTCATATTTTAAAAGTTTTTGTTTTTAAATATTCTTATTTATATATATATAAATGTGTCACATAGGAGGAGTATGGTCCATTTGTGTGGCTGGTGTGCAAATCATTAATCCTACATAGTTGTAGATACAAGAAAATAAGACCTATATCCATGGATCAGGTCTTATTCTCTTGTATCTATAATCTCCAAATTGTGCTTTATCACTTACATAGTTTTGTTGATTAATGATAAATCAATGATGGGAAATACAAGGTAATAAGATCAAAGGTAATAAGACTAAATCCAAATGAATAAATATTATAGGGGGGTCGGTGGAAGGCTGGTTAAACCGTTTGGTTTTCGGCCACTACAACTGGGGTTCAATTCCCGCATTGGACACTTTTTTCTGTTAAAAAAAAAAAAAAAAAAAAAAAAATGCTCCAATGGCCCCCGATTCTTGCAAAAGTCCAACCCCACCAGCGAGTGCAAGTAACCAAACGGGGCTCTGGCACATTTGTAAGTGCAAAGTCGAACTGCTTTTCACATGTGTAAACATGTAATGCGCTTACAGTAAAAGCAGTCGCTAACTACCCACCATGATTATCATGGCCTGTACCACGTATACTAGGGATAAGCAAAAAAAAAAGATTTGGTGTTATTACCTTGTGTTTCTAATCTATATTCTAAATTGTACCTAATTATAAATGATGAAAACTTCTACAAAATGTCATTATTAGCTTTTCTAAACAGAAAGTGACAACTTGTGATGTATGGTGTAGTTCCAGCCCTGATGTAGGAGACGTACTACTGAGCAGGAATGCCACATCTACTGACCCTGGGGTGTTGTTCTTGCCACACAGTCAGCTGCAGGGTAACACTCTCCTTACTGTCTTCTTTCTGCAGCTCCTCTCTATCCACTTTCTTTTCCTGCTGCCTTCCTCCAGTAGACCCTTTCTGTCCTTGAAGCCACTCTTTCAGTCTTCTTGATTTCTTACTACAGTAGCTCCTTTCTGTCCTTAAAGCCATTCTTTCAGTCTTCTTTTCCTGATTTCTTCCTCTGGCAGCTCCTCTTTGTCCTTGGAGCCATTCTTTCAGTCTTCTTTTCCTGCTATTTCATCCAGCATACTTTCTCTGTCCTTGAAGCCATTCTTTCAGTCTTCTTTCCCTGATTTTTTCCTCTGGCAACTCCTCTTTGTCCTTAAAACCATTCTTACAGTCTTCTTTTCTCGATTTCTTCCTCCGGCAGCTCCTATCTGTCCTTGAGGTCTTCTTTCAGGCTTCTTTTCCTGATTTCTTTCTCTGACAGCTCCTCTCTGTCCTTGAAGCCATTATTTTAGTCTTCTTTTCCTGATTTCTTCCTCTGGCAGATCCTATCTATCCTTGAGGCCATTATTTTAGTCTTCTTTTCCTGATTTCTTCCTCTGGCAGATCCTATCTATCCTTGAGGCCATTCTTTCAGACTTCTTTTCCTGATTTCTTCCTCCGGCAGATCCTATCTGTCCTTGAGGCCATTCTTTCAGTCTTCTTTCCCTGATTTCTTCCTCTGGCAGATCCTATCTATCCTTGAGGCCATTATTTCAGTCTTCTTTTCCTGATTTCTTCCTCTGGCAGATCCTATCTGTCCTTGAGGTCATTCTTTCAGTCTTCTTTTCCTGATTTCTTTCTCTGGCAGCTCCTCTCTGTCCTTGAAGCCATTCTTTTTGACTTCTTTTCCTGATTTCTTCCTCTGGAAGATCCTATCTATCCTTGAGGCCATTCTTTCAGTCTTCTTTTCCTGATTTCTTCCTCCGGAAGATCCTATCTGTCCTTGAGGCCATTCTTTCAGTCTTCTTTCCCTGATTTCTTCCTCTGGCAGATCCTATCTATCCTTGAGGCCATTATTTCAGTCTTCTTTTCCTGATTTCTTCCTCCGGCAGCTCCTATCTGTCCTTGAAGCCACTCTTTCAGTCTTCTTTTCCTGATTTCTTCCTCCGGCAGATCCTATCTGTCCTTGAAGCCACTCTTTCAGTCTTCTTTTCCTGATTTCTTCCTCTGGCAGATCCTATCTGTCCTTGAAGCCACTCTTTCAGTCTTATTTTCCTGCCTTCTTCTCTCAGTAGTTCTCCTCTATCCATGGAGCTATTCTTCAAGCAGCCTTTTTCTCCTGCTGTTCTCATTCAGCACCTTCTCACAATCCTTCCAGCCATCTCTGATTATCTATCCACTCAGGGAGATCTACCAGTCTGAGACAGCTGGTGGTTACAGACTTGGATGCCATCTACCTCTTGGTGTCAAAGTCTACAACGGATCAATGTGGCCAGAGCATTCCCTACCATCTTCAGATCACAGAGAGACATTGTTACACCACGGACCATCACTCTGGCGACTACTGTGGGACAGTTGAGGGACTCCATTTTACCTGCAGGTACAATACCAAGGCAACTTCAACAACTTCCTATGCCCCACAACCAAACCCTCCTCTACATTATCACCATTTATTTTTACAAATACTGTTAAAACTTATAGATAGACATTTTGCCCAGAGGATAATGTAATCTATAAAAATAAAATTTGCCTCTTCCCCCAAAATTGACGTCAAAACTAGACGCCATCTATTGGCTGTTACCGCAAACTAGCGGATTCGAGTTGGTAACAGAGCTACAACACCAGCTTTGGCAAACTAGCAGACTCGAGTTGGTAACAGAGCTACAACACCAGCTTTGGCAAACTAGCAGACTCAAGTTGGTAACAGAGGTACAACACCAGCTTTGGCAAACTAGCAGACTCAAGTTGGTAACAGAGCTACAAC